AAAAAAAAAAGAAAATGATATAGCCACGACAATTGTGCATACAAGTGATGAAATAAAAGGCAACAAAGTGAATATTTAATAATATACTAATGGAAATGGAACAATAAGAAAGGTTAAAGTTAAGATGTGATGTTATATATTCAAATTATTTATTCACACATTTATTCTACTTACTAGGCTTTAGCTCACTTATTTATTGTGATGCAGATGAAGGCACATCCTGACATTAGATGTACATTATTTTGGTGGTTGGTTGGCATCATCCTTCGTACCAAGACTTTTGTATATGGACGATGTTGACCTGTTTGAGGCTGTGAGTTACTAACTATTTACTATGCTCATGTTTTTGTATGTAAGAACTGTCGGATCTATTTTTAGGATATGTATTATACTGTATATATGGGACATCAGTCAAAAGAAATGTTACAGCCCACCCTCCCAAAAATCTCAAGAATCCAGATCACTGGGGTCGTTGCTGTGATAGATTCATGTTCGACAAGTTTCAGGTAATTGTAAATCTTTTATATATTGTTGTTTTATTATATATAAAAAATGTTAATTTTACCAAAGCTGAATTTAATAATAAATAGAAAAAGTCGAGAATCAATAAACTTAATCGTAGCATCCAAAAGTGGTCGGGCTTTCACAGTCGGTTGTCGTACTCCCTACATCGCGAGAAGAAAGTTAGTATTTGTTAATAATTTATTCAATATAAAGGTTAATTTGATAATCGATTACACTATATTCATATACATACAAATTATTAAATAGTCCAACACACGGACCCAACAGCTGATGTTCGCCATCGATAACTGGGGGGCCATGCATCGTCATAGGGATACTTAGGTTAATCCCCAAGCTGAGCAGACTTTTGTAAGTAAACTCGTAGTGCTTAATTATATATTTTCTATTTAAATTAGATTATGTATTTAATTATTTTTCTTATAATATTTATAGCATTGGATGGAGGGAGAAAGGGAAACACAAATCTAGACGTAGTATGCTGATGCTCTTACTCAAAAGTCGATGGCTGGAGTTAATAAAGGACTATGATTGTATTATCAACTGTCACCCAGGTAAGGTGAATATGGTTGCTGATGCTCTTAGTCAAAAGTCTCACCTAGTATCTCAGTTGTATTAGTAATTCAGCGACCTTTAGCAAAGGACTTACAAAAGTTAGATTTGGAGATAGTTTCACATGGGTTAATTAAAAGATTGCTTGGACTGACATTGTAACCTACACTACTAGAGAGGATTAAGAATGGTTAAAATTCAGATCCTTATCTTTGTCATGTTAGGGAAGAGATTGGAACTAAGAAACGAAGGGATTTTAAAATCACTAATGATGGAATAATTCAGTATGGGACAAGACTTTGCGTACCGAAACATGGAGACCTCAGAAAGGAAATCTTAAAAGAAGCTTATAACACCCCTTATTCAATACACCCCGCTACAAGAAAAATGTATACAGATTTAAAAAATCATTATTGGTGGCCAGGTTTGAAGAGGAATATTGTTGAATTTGTAGCATCATGTCTCACTTGTCAGCAAGTTTTGGGAGAGCACCAGAGACTTGCAAGTGTGTTACAACCTTTAATGGTTCCTCAATGGAAATGGGAAGAAATTGCCGTAGACTTTGTGAGTGGTTTACCAAAGACCAAGAAAGGGTATGACTCTATATGGGTTATTGTTGATGGATTGACAAAATCAATACATTTTCTTTCAGTTCACATCACTTATACCAGTGACAATATGCTCGATTATATCTGAAGGAGATTGTTAGATTACATGGGGTACCAATAACAATTATGTCAGATAGAGGATCTCAATTTACATCCATATTTTGGAAGAGCCTACAGAGAGATATGGGAACCAAATTGAACTTTAGTACAACATTTCACCCACAGACAAATGGTCAATCAGAGAGAACCATTTAGATCTTAATAGATATGCTAAGAGCATGTGTACTTGATTTTCAGAAGACATGGACTGAATATTTGCCACCAGTAAAATTTGCATATAACAACAGCTGCCAAGCAACCATATGTATGGCACCTTATGAAGCATTATATGGTCGGAAGTGTAGATCCCCAATTCACTGGGATGATATGGGTGAGAAGAAGTATCTGGGTCCAGAGTTAGTACAGCAAACAGAGGAGGCAATTCAGAAGATTCATGGTAGGATGTTAACAACCCAAAATTGACAAAAGAGTTATGCTGATGCAAAGAGAAGAGATGTGGACTTTGAAATATGAGACAATTTTTCTAAGACTTGCGCTAATGAAAGGGGTTATAAGTTTTTGCAAGCAAGGGAAATTAAGTCCAAGATACATTGGACCATATGATATTGTCGAAAGAATTGAAAAAGTGGCTTATAGACTGGCTCTACCACTAGCACTAGCAAGAGTCCATGATGTATTCCATGTATCGATACTGAGGAAGTATGTGCCGGACCCATCACATGTACTACGCCAAGAGGATATAGAGTTGAACAAAGACTTGACTTATGAGGAACAACCAGTGAAAATCTTGGACAACAGAGTGAAGCAACTTAGAAATAAAGAGACATCTCTAGTTAAGGTCCTTTGGAGAAGTCAACAGGCGGAGGACGCGACATAGGAATTGGAAAGTGAAATGAGATTGAAGTATCCACACCTATTTGGTAAGTAAATTTTGAGGATGAAATTTTTATAAGGAGGGGAGAATTGTGATACCTAAAATTTCTCACATACTAGTGGCCAATGCATTTTATGACATTTTAGCATCATGCATATGATACATAAACATTTTGTTATTTTATATGCATTCATGTATTATAATGGTGTACATTGTAAATTAAAGTAAATCATATGTTTAGTGTGTTCATTACACATAAGAGTGACTCGGGGTTGCTAAAGAGAAGGATCCAGTAAGTTGGGTACTGGACATAAACTTGTTCTTTGAAGATTTACAAGAATTTCTAAGTAAAATGTAAAATGTGGAGTCCTAACAGGGTTTTTAAGGTAAGTTTAGTGAAAATGTGCACATTGGTCTGACGTGTGCTAAGATTTGCAATTAAGTTAATAAGCCAAAGAAATTACTTAAGGTGATTATAAGGTTGAAATAGGGTTGACATTGGGATGACGATAAGAGTTTAATGTTCGTGTTACTTTAGAAGCCCTAAATTGAGCATATTTTGGCATTCGAGTTTGTGGAGTCAAATTGAGATTTTATTAGGGTTCTAAAGCAATCATGGATCCTAATAGTTAGGGTAAGAATGAAATAGAAAGTGATTATGTTAGATGTTTAAAATTGAATGAAAAGTATGGGAGATGTAAAGTTAGAATTTCTCACATACTGAAATTTCGGTGCAAGCTCATACACCAAATTTGGTAGGCCAAATGCTTGGCTATGACCTTGTTCATACTTTGAGAATTTATGTAAGTTTTGTGTGCAAGAGAAGGTGGTAAGACAGCCGTTTAAGGAGATATTAGATTAGAGGAGAGGAGAATGCTTCATGGTTAAGTAAATTGAGATGCCTACTTGTCTCTTTAATGTGTTAAGCAAGGAGATGAAGAAGAATCAGCCCCAAAACCTTCTAGTCCAAGCCTCCTCTGGTTCCATAGTGCTTCTCCAGCCATTTCTTAAGAAAACCAAAGCAATTCCAAGTGGTTTGATGAAGGATTGATCATAGGAACACCAGGAGATTGAAACTAGTGTAAGGTAAGGTGAATTTTGTGAATTTAGTTTTATTTCTCTCATGATTGGTGATAAATCCGTGTTCTAATCCTTTGGGATTGTTTTAGAGTCTACTCCAAGAGTTTATAAGAGGTTTAGATGATTCAGAGGGTTTTATTTATAGTTAGGTCATGATTTTTGGGTTATGAGATCTTTGATATGTTAGATTGAAGCCAATAAAAAAATAATGGAGCTAACTCAATTGGAAAATGGTGGTTTTGAAGCTCGTTTTCTTGGAGCTGTCTAGATTCAAGTCAGTTTTAATTATGCTTCAAGTTTTTATTTATTTACCTAGGCTACGAAGCTCAAATGAGCTAAAATTTTGAGGCTATCTCGTTTTACATGTTGTCTAAATGCTCCTAAAACAGTTTTGGCAATATCCTTGAGGTTTGAGAGTTATGGTTTTAAAATTACAGCTGGTTCCTGAGAACTTTGGTGGTTTTGTTATAATTTTATAATTTAGGTTATTTTATGATACTAATTTATTTAGGAGATTAACAAGTATTTTAAGCTTTGGGGAGTGGTAAAATGTAGGAGAAACTCTGGAAATTTTTTTAAAAATGGTTTGGAAGGGTTTAGAGACCATTTGGGCTGTTTTGGGTTGGCTGAGCGCACCAAGTTGCATGCTGTGGGCACCCAGCATGCTGCAGTAGGCCCTGGGGCACACCAGTGGGGCGCTAGCGGCCCTTGTGCATGTACCTTGGGGCGTTGGCCGCCCTACGCACCCTATTCATGCTTTCCAGCGCCCTATGCATGCTGTGTGCGCATGGTTGGTCCCCTGGTGCCCACTTGCGTCCACGGTTGAGCCTAGGATGCGCCGAAAATAGGGTTTTGAGCCATTTTCTGATTTTAGCCATTTCAAGCTATTTTAAGTTTGAATTGGCCATTTATGACACATCTGACGAAAATTTACTATATTCACCTAAATGATTCTTTTTTATAGTATTTTATTAAGTAAAATCTTTAAGTTATGAGAAAATTTAGGGAAAAATTTATTTAGAGGCTTTAAATGAAAACTGTAATTTGTTGAGCCATTTTAGGCTATATTTTGAGTTATTTTCATTAATTATGAAACTAATGATAATACATTTAAATACCCAACATTACAGTTGTTCACATTGGATCCACCAAGAGGAACCCCGAAGTCATACTTTCTGTCATACGGTGCGAGGTAAGTAGAATATCACCTGTATCACCATAATAATTTTGCATAGTACATAAGTGATACTTGATTATTTGATGTATATGTATAATGCACAAAGTATGTACATGGTACAAAATAAAAGAAAATGCTATGTAAGGAATGAGTTGATAAAAATTTACCAAAGTAATCAAGAGGAGTGATAGTAATGAGGCTAAAACAATCCTGATGGGGATATTAATCACCACAAAGTCTATGGGAGACACATGATAATGATTTGGCCATAAGGTCTGGGACCACTAAATCTCTAGGAGACAGGTGATAATCATTGTGAAGGCGATAAGGTCTGGGACCACTAAGTGTCTGGGAGACACAAGATACTATTAATAATGGCCAGAAGGTCTGAAAAAAAAGAAAATGATAAAGCCACGACAATTATGCATACATGTGATGAAATAAAAGGTAACAAAGTTAATATTTAATAATATACTAATGGAAATGGAACAATAGGAAAGACTGAAGTTAAGATGTGATGTTACATGTTCAAATTAATTATTCATGCATTTATTCCTTAGTTCACTTATTTATGGTGATGTAGATGTAGGCACATCTTGATATTAGATGTACATTATTTAGGTGGTTGGCTGGCGTCATTCTTAGTACCAGGACTTTTGTCTATGGACGATGCTAACCTGTTTGAGGCCCTGAGTTACTAACTATTTACTATGCTCTTGTTTTTGTATGTAAGAACTGTCTGATCTATTTTTAGGATATGTATTATACTGTATATATGAGACATAAGTCAAAAGAAATACTAAAATCATGTTTTTGTACCATTGCACAAAGAAAGTCTTAAAAAGTTCAAATTTGTCCCACATTTTAATGTTACCAATCTAAAGAAAACTCAAGGTAAGTTAGAAATAAGTTTTGAAAGAGTAACGACACCTTGCATAACTAGGTAACTTTAAGGTTAGACTAGGTGGGACAACCCACCCCCCTAAAAATCTCAGGAATCCAGATCACTAGGGTCGTTGCTGCGATAGATTCATGTCCGACAAGTTTTAGGTAATTGTAAATCTTTTATATGTTGTTGTTTTATTATATATAAAAAATGTTAATTTTGCCAAAGCTGAATATAATAATAAATAGAAAAAGTCGAGAATCAATAAACTTAATCGTAGCATCCAAAAGTGGTCGAGCTTTCACGGTTGGCTGTCGTACTCCCCACATTGCGAGAAGAAAGTTAGTATTAGTTAATAATTTATTCAATATAAATGTTAATTTGATAATCGATTACACTATATTCATATACATTCAAATTATTAAACAGTCCAACACAGGTACCCAACAGCTGATGTCCGCCATCAATAACTGGGGGGACATGTATCATCATGGGGATACTTGGGTTAATCCCCAAGCTGAGTAGACTTTTGTAAGTAAAATCGTAATGCTTAATTATATTTTTTTATTTAAATTAGATTATGTATTTAATTATTTTTCTTATAATATTTGTAGCATCGGATAGAGGGATAAAGGGAAACGCAGATCCAGAAGCAGTATGCTACTTTTAGATCATCCGCAACATAAGCGGTTAACGAGGAAGGTATTATCGAGCATGTTCTCGAAACCTATAGAGGACATAAGATGAGAGTGGGCCGCACACTCCCGCAAAGGGTTTATTGAGGGGATGCTCGTCATCTGGCTCACGTTCAGCAAGATCTTCTACGACATGTACGGACCCACACGTAGAAGAATACTTGCAACCGAGTTACTAGCAAAGCCTGCAAATGTACGAGAGCTTCAGAATGATGTAGGACATGATGGCTGAAATGCACCCCAACATTCAGTTCCCATCGGTTACTCCTCCCGTGCCGTATGTCCATCCAGGTCTTCCACCTCCGAATCCTTTCGATGATAACAACGATGATTCCAGTGACGCTGCTAACTTAGAAGAGTAGATTTTTATTAATGTAATAATTTATACTTTCGTACATTTTAAAATTATATTCTATTATATATTTTTATTTTATTAATACTCACACAATTTAATTTTATTTATATTTTTATATTACTTATATTTCTTTTAATTAATTCTTTTTTATTATTATAATATCATGAATTATAGTTAATATTGGGTTTAAATATATAGTAATATACAACATTAATTATTAAAATGAGAAAAAATAAATAAAAAATTAAAATACTAGTTGCGACGACAAATGTGGTCGCAAAAAATTTAATGCCACATCAGCTAATTCGCCCTTATCTGCGACGACGTCGTCACAAAAAATTAATGTCATATCATCTTGATGATGCAACCGAAGAAATAATTAGAGTGACTCATTTGCGACGATTGTCATCGTAAATGTAAATTGACAGGACGACATGTCGTCACAAAAATTTTTTTTACGACGAATCAATTGCGGCGATATGTTTGCAGCAACTTGCGGCGACTTTGTGTTTTTTTACTACGAATTTTCGTTATCACTAATAACCCTGTTTCTTGTAGTGAACATGCAGGGGTTATTAAATTGACAATTGGCTAAAGAAAGGCCAAGGGACATATGCTTGAATACAGATGAAGATCGAAAAATCCTATTTGGCAAAGTAACCATAAACACCGTTGGCAGTGTTCTCTTATCAAGTTTTGGGAAAGATTCCGATATCTGTACTCCTAGCGATTCCGAAAGAAATTAGCACTACACACACCTAGATGTTGATTCAATTTTAGCACTTAATTAACTGATTATTATCGTGCAAT